ATGTCTTTACTTTTTATCTCATTTAGACATTTCTCATGCGCCTTTTTCAGATGTGACAGCTCTTCAATACAGCTAAAAAGTTGAGTTTTATACTCATTACAACCAAAAATCAACTTTCTCTGACCCAAGACAAGACAATCGTTTTCAGTTACTGTCGTCTCCAAACAGATTTTACAAAAAGCTCTCGTAGAAAAATCGCAACATGCTCCAAACAACCCTCCATCCCTCATTTGTGATCTTCTTTTATTGAAACAATTTTCTTGGCAGACTGTACAGGGTGTCCCATTGAAGATGGGAATTGGGGCTATCTGCTAAACTCATAGAGGTAGATGTTTATTAAAACGGTATCTCGGAAAGAAAATTCCAGTACGCCAATGAAATCTACGTGAAAATCTGCGTCAGATACAATTTTCACCTTTTTGATATCTTTTTTCATACGCTAGATAATGACTACCCTCGAAAAGTAAACATTCAAAATTTCACCCTGTATCTACGAAACGAAACAAGATAGAGACCTGCGGTTTACGGCATTCGATTTGTCATAAAAAATTGACCTGGGAATGTGAAATCAAAAAAAAGATATCTCTGCGAGTTTAGCAGATAACCCCAATTCCCATCTTCAATGGGACACCCTGTACACTGCATTTTTATTAGTTAGTGTATATAATTATATAATTGGAATTCCCACAACTGATAAGGTTTTTTGGTAGGTACCACAAATAAAAATAATAAAACAGGTATCTCCGATAAAAAGATGTTTAGACTATCTGTAGGAATGTCAGTACGCCAAAAAAAGGAGGCAAGAAATGAGAATTTATACTGGTGTCGCGATAGGATTAATGGAAAGTTTTTTCAATTTTACGGGAGTTTTGTTCGAGTTACTCATAGGGGCCCTTCACAAAACAATTGTCCACCATCACAATGAATCCACAAACCATATAAATAACGATACTAAACCCGACTTTCACAACAAAATTTACGGAGCGTCAATAATCATGACTTCACACGGCAACAATTCAGGTACAGATCTTGAACGTCTTTCGGAGCTATTTGACAGATAGAAAGCAGTATGTCAGAATTGGTGATGCACTTAGTAATCCAGAAACTATTAAAATAGGCGTTCCTCAGGGAACAGTCCTTGGACCCATACTCTTTTTGCTGTATATCAATTCATTGTTATCTCTTATTACTGACGTAAAAATTGTTGCGTATGCAGACGATACAGTGGTAACATTTAAGGGTGCAACATGGAAGGAAACCAAATTGGCTGTGCAAATGGGCATGGAAAAAATTAAAAATTGGCTAAACTTCAACTATTTGTCGCTAAACGTTGATAAAACACTATCTTGCATATACTCTATCAGATGCTAACAAACCAGAGTATAATAGTATCAGTGTTCAGGGCATGGATGAGCATATTGGGGAGGTGAGTGAGATTAAGTACTTGGGCATAAATTTAGATAGGAATTTGAAATGGATGAGTCATGTGAACTACCTTACAAAAAGAGTTAGAAAGCTCATCTACAAGTTTTATCAGATGCATGATTTTTTTTCAAAGAGTTTACTATTATTAATTTACAAATCTCTTGCTGAATCACTGTTTTGCTATGGCATTTTGGTTTGGGGAGGAATGTATGCTAACGCACTGCAAAAGCTGAATGTAATTCAAAACTACATATTGAAAATAATTTATAGAAAACAAAGATTTACTACTAGTCTGCTCTATACAGAGGAGGTACACTATCGGACAAAAGTAAAGCAACTTTTATAAAAATATCCAATATTTAATTTTCAAAAATAAAATATGCATTAGCGATGAATGAAATCCTTTCAGTTTAAAACGTCATAGTAAGCTACAGTGACAGGCTAAATATGATTATTTTCAAATGTCAAATTAACTTGTGTGCAATAATTTATATAAATATTACACTTTATTACCGCGACAAAAGAAGAGCAACTTTTAAGAAATCAAAATTTTATTGCATTTAACAACACAAAAACAACAACTATAGCTAAAAGCTTATTGAAATAGACAATAATGAAAAAAAATGACTTAATAGTTGATAGGATATCCATTGTTGGCTATGACTTTTTGGCAACGGCGCGCCATTGATGAAATTAAATTTCGGATAGTGACAATTGGCATATTAGTCCAAACCTCGTTGATTTTATCAATTAAAAACTGTTTGTTTGGAAATGTTGTGGTACGAATTTGACGTTCAACTTCTTCCCACAGGTTCTCGATAGGGTTGAGATCCGGTGATTGTGCTGGCCACTGCAGAACTCGGACATTGTTCTCCTGAAACCACCCCTGCACAAGACGAGAGGTGTGCTTGGGGTCATTGTCCTGTTGAAATACGAATCGCAAAGGCATTTCCCACTCAGCATAAGGCAACATTACATTTTGGAGTATGTCCCTGTATACCAATCGATCCATCGTCCCGTATATGAAGTGCAATGGACCTACTCCAATCCATGAAAAGCAACCTCATAGAAACACACTTCCTCTTCCATGCTTTATGGTTGGTATAACGTACTTTGGTTGGAACCTCGTATTAGCTGGAAGTCTTACACGCCTCATTCCATCAGAATTGAAAATTTTATAACGAGTTTCGTCGCTGAATAAATTTTTTTCCCAGTCTTGAATTGTCCAATTTAGATGACGTTGTGCAAATTCGAGCCTGGCACGGCGATTTCTTTCAGAAACCAGCGGTTTCTTGGCTGGACGTCTGCTGTAAAGCTTTGCTTCAACTAATCTTCGTTGGACAGTCCTTGCACTTACTTCTAGTTCAGGAATTGCAGCAATTATTCTTGGTCCTGACAACCACGGATCTCTTTGGCAAACTCTTTTGATTCTCCTATCCATCCAAATTGTAGTTTTTCTAGGCCTCAAATCCCTTCTTTTTGGAAAAAATAAAAAAGTTGCTTTACTTTTGTCGCGCTAATAATGTGAATTGTTCAAATAAATTATTGCATACATTTTTGTTTGACGTTTGAAAACAATTGAATTTCGCCTGTGACAGCAGTCAACTACAACCTTTTAAACTAGGATCATTTTAGCTTCCGTTATCAACAAGTGTATTTTTGATGGATGAATATTTTATTTTATAATAAGAGTTGCTCTACTTTTGTCCGATAGTGTATGTAATATTCGCACCTTATATTTTCATAAAATATGTATCCATGCATTCAAAAATCTCCCTACTCAAATTCAATGTAACTCTGTGTATCAGACTCGTAGTGCATCGAATGAGTTATTGTCAACTCGTAGATTTAATAAAAATATTTCCCATAGATTGTTCATTAATACTGTCCCTAAAGCTTTCAATGTATTGCCAATGGAGATCAGAAAAATCCAGAAATATAAATTATTTGCAAGGGAATCGAAAAAATATATTTTTCATAATTTGATAGCATTTAATAAAATTTTGAATTAAGTAGTAGATACCAACCTAAGCTACTGACTTTCTGTTTTCTTTTAGGTATATTGCACATTATGTATATTATGTAAACTTCACTGTATTGTAATTGTAACTATAATTTAACCATTCTTAGGTATAATAAATTTGTAATCTAGTTTATAATCTCAGCACAACACAAGTGTTAAATCACTTAGGTGGTTGTTTCTGTTTGAAGAAAAAAAAAGATGTATTATTCTTAACATTGAATATTTATATACCCATTGTATACCTTTGTAGTGTGAAATAAATTTAATGTTGGAGTTGTTTGCAACTTAGATTTTGTTGAAGCTTGTATTACTTGTTTTTATTATTATTGTTAGGTCTGTTCGCGCAGAAATCACAAACCAGTCAGAGTGAATTTCATTGCTTGAAACTAGTTTTGCGACTGTTTTCACCCAATCAAATTCGCTCTGACTGGCTTGTGATTTCTGTGCGAAGTTCGAACAAACCTATTGACAATACACGTCAAAACCTTTTGACGTTTACCATTTCCGAGCGAGATCCAAAAAACAAAAAAAAAAAGGCACAATAACTTGAAAACTAGCGATGGTAGCACTTTTGCGCAATGATAGGTTTTGATCAGAAGCTCAAAAACTATCATATGCCAGAGTGGCAGAAAATTTAGCCGGGACCCAATTCCCATAAGATTAGTGCGGGGTCCTTTGTGCTGGTTAGAACTAGAATGAACTCAATAGATGTGACACAACACAACGCCCAGGACTGATGGTAAATGGAACTAAAATTGAACAAGTAAAGGAATTTAAATATCTTGGTGTTATTATAGATGAACATTTAACATTTTAGAAACACGCATCCTATATAACAAGCAAAATTGCTGGTAGGGTAAACGCCTTGGGCAGAATGAGAAAAACATTAAGTGAATGGTCAAAACTCTTAGTGTACAAGTCTTTAATAATGCCGTATTTAAGTTACTGCCCTACAATATTGTTTCTCCTAAACAATACTGAAATCAATACAATGCAAAAAACACAAAATCAAGCTCTACCTATTATTTTGGATGCAAATTTATATGCAAATACAAAAACAATGTTAGATATTGATTACTGTTGGTATATTGAGTGTTCGACAGTCAATAAGTTATTCCACTGGTATTTATTTATTTATTTATAAAATGGTTCATGGCCTGGTGCTTATCCATTTGCTCGACAACTGCATAACGCATAACTGTACAGGATATACCTACATAATCATTTTACAAGATCTGTAAGCAACTTTTATATGAGAACTGTGCATAAAACATTTGACCAGAAGAACGTGTTCCATAAAGGATCGACTAAGTAAAACTCTACAACTACCAAACCACATGAAGAACTGTGAAAGTCTAAATTCATTTAAAAGTAACTGTTTCCTATAATTATGTAAAGGAGACAATTGCACTGTTTTTGTTTGCATTGGTTTGCATTTACTGTGGATCATAATGTATGATTTTTCGAGAACTGTGGTAATTCTGGTGGTAACAAAGGCTATTGTTTACGTCTAGAGTCTAGAAGTTTAAACTCAATGGTATTTGGTACTTACAACAAATTTTGATTTCCTTTTATAGTGTGCACATCCGTAAATTTTTATTGCATCTTCTGGCGGGCCCTCAGCCCTAGGAGTAGTAGTAGCTTCTTCCATTTGCTATGTGCCTATATGGCCTATATGGAAAATATACGAAAATTAATAGATCATCATTAAATAAATAGGAATAGTTTATCACTTACCTTGATTTTCTTAATAATATGATTATTGTGGCAAATATTTTTCAAATTCCTTTTTTTTTCCTTTGATAGCCCAAAAATAAAAAAAAATTGATGATCATGCATGCATGAACTTTTCAATTTGGGATTGTTTGTTCCTTTTCCTTCTGCTTACTGCTTATGCCCTAAAGCGAAAAGGAAAGAAAAATAAACGAAAGGCGTAGGAGAGCAGCTGTGAATTTTGACTATTTTTGACAATTAATTGTCTACCGCGACCAAGGATAATACACACTACTACTACAGGATAGCCTATCCTCGTAGGGCCTGTGTTGTGTGGAACAAATCTCTGAAGCCCCACCATACCAAATCACCAGTTGTGACGTGCAGCATGTCCTTTCACGACTTGGCGTAAGCTGTTTGCACCTCAGGTTATGATTCCGCGGGCTTTTGCTTTATTCATACTTGGTAAGTTGGTTTTACTACATTAATTAATATTCCAAAACAATTCTTTTTTAGATCTCGTTTTCATCTTCCTCTTTGCCTATGCTGTTCATTTGTACTTGCTCTACTTGCTCAAAAATCAGAAAGATCTGCTAGGAGCCGATATTTATGAGCTTATAATAGATCTGAGCCGCTTTCCAGTATGGGAGTGTGACGCTCAGAGCCGTTGAGCCCCCGAGCTATACGTACGGACAAACGTCACAAGTCATGATACTGGAACCAGGGATGTGCGTCTACACGTAGACTTTCATTGTCTACTTTACGTGTAGATAATGTAGACATTAGACACTTTAATAGTTGGACCAAACACGTTAACGTAATCTTTAAACGTAAACCCTATTTTTTACTATAGCGTCGAGTGACCGTCGGTGCTCACAAACCAGTTTAAGTTAAATTTTCACGTAAACATTAACGCTATATCTCACAATCATAACCTAACCTTTAAATTTTGTTGTGAAAAGGACAAATTAGAAATAATTTTTTGTATTTTGAATTATGTGACAACTTTTTTTTAAGGTGAAAATACGTTCGGCAAAGGTCGACTCCGGTTATCTGGCTTTCGGGACCACTCGGTTCAACGAACGTTTACGGATAAGGTACACGTAAAGACTCGCTAAATAACGTGACACGTAACACGCTATTTTTGGTGAAAAGAAACTACGCATGCGCAGCTGTCAAATCTTACGTTAGCGTTAACAAATTTTGTCTAACTTAAAGTGTCTAATGTAGACAATGTGTCAACAATGTAGAATAATATAAATGACGTTTAATTCTAACCTCACACTTTCCTTTTTTTTATTTATTTTTATTTTATTATTGGTTTTTCTGATATTTTATAATCAGTGAATGCTAATATCGAAGTAATAGTGATAGTATAGTAACTTTTGATATTCTTTTTTGAATTTTTTAAAATAAGTTATTGTTTACGTCGCATGTAGACAATGTGTAGACAAATGCTCACGTAAACAATTCGAATTGTCTACGCGTAGACAATCAATTGTTTACGTTGACATTGTCTACAGGCACATCACTGACTGGAACAGTAGAAATCTAGTGCGTGGCGCTCCCGGGGTGCTCTAGAGCGCGCCAATGTTCATACTGAAAAGCAGCTCTGTTTCTGCAGAAATCACAAACCAGTCAGAGCGAATTTCATTGGTTGAAAACAGTCAGAAAACTAGTTTCAACCAATGAAATTTACTCTGACTGGTTTGTGATTTCTGCAGAAACAGACCTATTATATGGGACAAGTGAACGCCAATCTGCTGAGATCTGCTTGAAGCAAGAAAGGCAGTGAAAATGAACACCCTTTATTATTTTAATCAAAATTAAATAATATTTTACATCATTTTAAATTCTAAACTACGACCGCTAGTGCAAACAGCTGACGACTTATTTATGACGTCAGAAATGGTGATGGCGGCGATTATCAAATACGAGGCCGATAAGCAATCTTTAGTAGTGTGTATTATCCTTGCACCGCCACCACCACTCCAACCAAGAATCGTAAACTACGACTCAATCGGCTGAATTTGTTCACAAGTGCTGTGACATCAAGGAGAATACACATTCTAGGAGTGCTTATCGGTCTCGTTTTTGGTAATCGCCGCCATATTGGTTTTCAACTGTTTTCAACCATTGCCGACGTCATAACTGAGTCTAGAAATTATAGTGTTTGTGAAAAGTACATAAATAAATAAATGTGTAAATAAATTTCTTTATTTGCGCGTATACTTCGTAAACGCATGGAAAATATGGGAAACGTAAGGCGATTTTCAGCCTGGAATGATTATTATTTGGTTATAACCAATGTATTTCCGCCGTCGCGGTTTTAACCAAAGTAGGGGAAGTTGTGACGTCACATATCAGCTGATTTGCTTTTGGTATTTACCACTTATAACCGATTATAACCCAGCTTTGGACTTGGGTTAATCTTTTGGTTACAGCTTTTTGATGTTATTGTTATTATTTTTGGAATATGTATTGGTGTTTTGTGATTTTACAGTTGCGTTGTAGCCTGGCACAATGGAAGAAGTATACATTCACTCACTCACTGCAATTCACCATGTTTAGATCATCCCCAAAGAAAATCTGTTCGATAAACGAGAGTAACGAGAGATTCAGCTCCATTTTTTGTACCTAAACAAAAAACTATTGTTGAAATGAAAAACCAAATAAGAATAATAAACATAATCCTACACTGCTATAACCAAATGATTTCAGCGGTCAGTTCCTTGGGTTATGATTCTTGAATGGTGGGGGGCTATGACGTCACACTTGGCTGTCAAAGTTGTCAACCAAAAGAATAACCACGGTATTTACCGATAAATAATCATTCCAGGCTGAAAATCGCCTTTACAGTGTTTTTCTGGACTATGATTATGAAAATCTAAATTAGATGTCACAATTTGGCTTTGTGAGATAAGCACTTACTTCACATTTTTGAGTGCTTGCTTTTTGATCAAAATACCTAATTGTTATATTACACCCATACACAGCACATCTCATTCCAGACATACCTATCTATTTTATAAATGTACCTACCTACACTTTATTTTTTCCCAAGTTAGATTTTGGCATTGTCAACTTTGAAACATAAACAATGCCGCTTATTGGCCGCTATTGTAAAACTGATGTCAACCTGCAGAAACACCTCATTTTGCGACCAATCAAGGTCAAGCGTTATTGTTTATGTTTCAAAATTTTCAATGTCAAAATCTATCTTGGGAAAAAATAAAGTGTAGGGGAAACTGTTGTATATCGGGACAGGTTCCTTAGTGGGACAATTCAAATTGTCCGCCACCGGTATCGCTTAAAATTCCGAAAAAAATTGTGTCAACTGCTTCATATATGAGCGAGCATTAGATATAACCTTGGCATTGGCCGTTAGAGTCTTCAATATGGCGGGATTTTCGTTAGTGTAAGCATAAAAGTGACAAAGTTTTTTTTTACGACCACGTGTTGGGCATAGTTTATGCCAGTAATATCCAATAGTTTGTCCTGAATTTGAGGATAATTATGCCCGAAGGTGTCTTGAAGGTGAATTAAGGTTATTTTTTTCTAGTATTTGTTCATATTTTCTCAAATTCAGAAAATTTCAAAAAGCGTATAAGGTTGTATTGTGGGACAGTGTATACTGGGACAGAATTTCTGGGTTGCATATTGGGACAAACATTTTATCTGCTCTATAATAGAACACTTTCGTATTTCACCTAGTTTCAATACCCTCTTTCTTCCAGAAATTGATAAAAATAGGGGCCGCAAAAACAAGAAATCGTTTTTTGAGAGTCGGAAAATTCACTTTGAGAATGCTGGGGAAGGCGGTAGACTCGGCGGTAGATGGTGTTCTTAAAAATGAAACCAATATTAAGACTGCTGCAGTTCAATTTGGAGTTAGCAAATCAACGTTGCATAGAAAGAAGCACAAAATAAATGAAGCAAACACGCAGGAATTAAATTTTCAAAAGGCAACATGGTGTCATTGGTGTCAAGCAGATTTTCAGTGACGATGAAGAGCCAATGCTTAGCAAATATTCAGTTACTTCTTCACGAAGGTGCTACGGTTTAACTAGCAGAAAACCTAGAAAGTTGGCTTATAGATTTGCCATCGCAAATTAAAATAAATCCAAAAACATGGACGGAGAATGAAATCGCCGGAGAAGAATGGTTCAAACTTTTTCGAATTCGAAATAAGTTTGGCTACCTACTTAATTTATGTCGAAGTTCTATCATTTTGTGAATAAGCGAAGGAATTTTTTTTTATATTTACTTATTTTGGATCAAAAAACATTGTCCCACTATACCCATGCATCATTCCCAGTATGCAACATGGGGTGGTTGTATAGTGGGAAAGTGGTGTATAGTGGGACATTCAATTTTTTCTATGTTAAAGTGTAAAAGTTGTTGAAATTTTTATAATTGTTAATAAACAAACTACTTTCAAATATATTAGAATGTTCACAATAGTTAAAAATTATTCAACAATTTTTTTATTTCAATTAGAAAAATATTGTCCCAGTATACAACAGTCTCCCCTACTTGTTGCACTAAAAAAAGGTAAAAGAAATGTATGCACATTTCAATATAATATTTATGCGGGTATTTTGCAATTACCCTCCTGATAAGCAGCAAGCAAACTAACTCGTCTTCATAATTAGCCAACCCCTCAATCACACGAGTTTGCTAAATTTAAAAAAACAATGTTTTCAAGGGAAATAACAATTTTTCATGTTTAAAAATGCAAGGAAAATACAATGTCATAATAAAAAACAATCTGATCAAGGACTGCCGATGATGGTACGTCACGTCACTCGCATTCCTCCATATTCGATATTTTTGTGAACGGAACCCGTCAATGTCCTATGGGATTGAGCAATCCTGGACGGCGATTCTCGAATCGTGTGATCCCTGTTCTCATAGGAAAAGTAGGCGTGGTTCTATTAAAATCTATTACGACAGTTCACTTCCTATGAAAGTTGAGAGAATTTTATTCTACTATTTTTTTTTTGAAGAGAACCTGGGCGCGTTCTTTTATTCAGCAATGGATCCATCTGCTGCCAGCATTATGAAACAAACATTCCAATTTTCTATGAGCTAGACAAAGAAAGGCTGATTACCGATGGATCCACCGCTGAATAAAAGAAAGCGTCCCCTCTGTTCTCGGGAGAACCAAACGTCAAACATGCGCTTTTTGTCAATTCTACAGTCATCATCCATGGTATTATGGTATTTTTTTGTTTGATGTGGACATCTTTTCAGAGGTTATTCTAACGTCCAGTTGGACATAAAATGTGCAGTAGGAAAAGTAAGGTTCGTTTCACCAGGGTTCA